TTTTATAAATAAACTTTTTTTAAAATCAATTTTATCTAAATATTTCAATTAAATATAAATTTGATTATGATATAAATATATCAGATATAATATTATACTTAAACTTTAGAAAAAATATTTAAAATCATAAATTCAAAAAATTTTAAATGTTAAATAATTATTAAAATATATAAATATAAATAATAAAAAAATCCAAATCTATTCAATAAATATACATCAATAAATAGTTGAGAAAAAGAATTTATTAAAAAAATTACTAAAAATTATATACAATATATTAAAATTATTTAGTAAAGATATTATTTAATTATAAAATAAATTTAATTTAATTTATAATAAATAAAGCAAATGCATTTGATATTGAAAGTTAGTTATTAAGAAATTTTATTTTATAATTGAATTAAAATATTTAAAATATTAATATTTTTACTAATAATATTAATAATATAAATAAATAAATAGAATTATTTTATAAATATATTACTTGAAAATTTTATAATTTCATTGATAAATTTTGAATTCTTGATTTTTTAATTTACAAATATCAACGTGTATCGATTTTAATTAAATTAAAAAATGTACTGTAAAAATTTATCAATTCTATTTGTAATATGAAACAGAAACCTTTAGTTATAGTCTAATAAACAATAATTAAAAATTACAATTTAAATAAAATAGATCATGCATTAAATATTTGTTTGTGCTTAGGTTGGAATTCGAGTCTATTCCTAAAAACGTAAATACTTAAAGGTTGGCGATTTCACTTGATATATGATTCGTTGGCGGTGGTGAAGATGCCGAGATAATGAATACGTTGATAGGCTGTTTATATCTATTAGCACATGACGATAATATTGAATATAGTAATTGTGACATTATTACACGATCAGCTGTAGCTGGACATGTAACACCAAGTTAGAATTACTAAAATTTCTAACCAATTGTCTAGAGCCAAACATCGGCATAAAAGTATGATTCGTCCTCTAAACTTGTTTATTGGCAATATAGTAAGTGTATAAGAGAAAGATTAGCATTTGCCGAAATCGAACTTTCAATCCCCGCACACTGTTTCATATAGTGTATTCCGCATATCAAAGAATGATCCCATTATACAAGCAGACATTGGAAAATCGGTGTTCTGAGTTTTTGCTTTTCCATGGATCTTCTGTATCACCATTCCGATGCCCTGACCAAATAGGTGGGTGTAAATTGATAATCACAATAGCCAACGTATTTTAAGTTATATAAATAGTGTATTCATCGTGTAACATAGTTTTCCGGCCATATCGCTAAATTGTGATATTCGATTCTTTATAGAAAGAAAATTTTTTTGAAGCCAATCTGTTTTATGAAATAAAAATTGGCTGTTCAGATTAATAGTCGCAAAAAATAACCAATACTCTTTGCAACACGCCACCTGAACATTTTTGATGGTTTATTTTTACCTTCATTCTTTTGGTGCACTTTTTAACTGGATGCGGACCTAAGCCATCTTTTTGCCCATTGCAAAAAGGTCAATTCTATCGACACAATTTAATGATAGAATAATTATGTAACCTCTTTTCGTTGCTAATGCATTTGCATGCTTTCAATTAATTTAATTATCTTAAAAAAAATTTTTTTTTCATATATACCGTATATTATTATCATTTTTTAAAGTTTCGGTGGGGGTTTTTTTTTTTTTTGAAAAAAAAAAAAGTATTTCTTTCTCGAGATTTTCTTCATAAATTTACCCCACTTTTTTGTACTCTCTTTTTACCGAGATCTTTTTATATCTGAATATGCATATTTATATTATGTTTTCATTACGAACTTGTTTGAAATACAAAATCCAAAAGGACGATTGACTGCAGATTTATTGTGCACTCTTCTTGCACCGTTTAATTTACGTAAGATGCTTGCTGGTTCTTTCGGAAATTTTCTTACAAGTGAAAGGTCCAGAATTTAAAGTTGAATGATATCACATATGATAGGTCTAATTTTATCCATTTTTATATCATCATGCCACTGATAGACTACACCACGTACATGAATGATGGTAGGGAAGTTGAATAAACTTCGAGTGGTTAGATAGAATAGTACGAAAATTCTAGCCACAACTTCAGGGCAAAGCGTTGGGGCCCATAATTTAAAATGTCGATCATATCTTATTGTAAATCAATCAACTATTTATTATATGTACGCATATTAAATATATCTGGCTCACGTGACGCGACGCACATCATTTAAATTAATTACCAATTTTTTTTAGAAAATGTTGTTAATGTAAAAATTAAAAAATCCAATAATACATTTAATTTTGATATTCGAAATTTACATTCACATGAAAAATTGTCTATTATACAGTCACGTGAAGAAGATCACTACGTCAAATGTTATTTTATCTTCCACTGTTGAAGATCACGACTTTATCAACGACATTTCGCCCCATTTTTTTTAAAATAGAACACAGTATAAATTGTAGGGTCATAGTGTCAGGTCAGAAGATGCCTTCGAAGGTAATTAGGCACAAAATCGAACCCACCCTTTTTTTCCAAAAACCCAATAACTTTAAAGTTTATATTGTTGGTGGTTTTATTACTTTGCATAGATGCGATTGCCATTACATTTGTTGCATCATTCATCTTCTCGCCATTACTCTATTTGTCCGAAGATTAGTTAGTCGATTTAAAGTATGCACATACACAAATTTATTCTCACAAACAATAACCAACATATTTTATATTGTCAAAGAGACATTTTGAAAGAGGTACTTTCCATTTCTTTAACAACCTTATTTGTAGATAAAATGGTTAAAGTACTTTAATATAATAGATGATTTTTTTTTTTTTTTTATAAATTGACATCGTTTGGAACAGAAAGTCCGCCCGCACAATAATAACCATTGAAAGAGTTTACGTTCCCCGTAGTTTCTTTCGAGGGAGACTCCTTTGTTTTTTTTTCTCTCTATTCTCTCTTCCGCCAAGAAAAAATTGGGCCTCGGTTTTTTCTTACCTTAACGACGAGACAGATACTCTCCCGACTTGTTTCAGACTGAAAAGTAATTTCGGGTTCGAACTATTTCATTGCATCTATTTTACCGAGTTATCGTTTTTTTTTTCCTCTTTAATGGTAAGCCCATATATTATATATTATATATATAATATATATAGTATTATTATTAAGATTATTCTACCATTCTGTTTTAATATAATAATAATCATACGTAATTTGTACGTACGTGATCCATCTGTGTTTATTATCATTATCATTTTAGGTCAAGAATCATACGATTGATTCATAATCCGCTTCAAATCTCATTGAAACTAACCGAGAATTCCGTCAAGAAAAAAAAAAAAAATCCCTTTTTGATGCTTTTTTTCTTTATCACGACTATTACCTTCACGAACATCGGAATCAAAAACTTGCTTTTTTTTTAATGATCATTGCCTCTTCAACAAAAAAAAAAAAAAATTGCGCGCGTATTTGCAAATTTTTATATTTTTGAATCCTACTACTTACTACTTATTTAATCCTTCGCGATTATCGAGAGGCTTCCATGATATAATTACGTCAGTGACATAACAAACTTTAAATTCATGATATCACTATTTACACTATTTGTCACCAAGTCCCCTCAATTCGGAGATTTTTTTTTATTCACATACATAATTCAATTGTAACACTGACACCTTTGTCCCGAGGGTCCTTTTTCATTAAAATTGTTATTTACTTCTTTGAACCCTATTTTCTACTATTCTACGGTAAATGGTTATATATATTTTTTTTTATAGGCCTCCCCCAAAAATCTCTTCCTTTCTCTATCAAAATCTGCTTTATTTGTTTATTTTTGTTCAAAATAAAAAATCTTAATATAAAATTTTATTCCTTTTTATATTTATTGTACCCGTTATAATATATATATATACGCCTGTCTCGGGCCTTTGACTTTTTCCTATCAAAAAATAATTCCTTCAAAAACGCTACGACTTTGAGTTTTTCTTTTTCTTTTTTTTTTCTCTTCTTTTTTTCTTTAATACCTCCATACGAAAAAAAAATTTTAAAAAAAAATTACACTCGTCAACAAAAAAAAAAAAAAAAAGAAAAACTCTTAACCCTTTATAAAATTTCAGGTAAAGATACGCACATCCCACCCGATAACACTATTCGTCTCTTTGTATATACTTCTTCTCGTTTTATCAGTTACACCGTATTCCCAGGTTTTTAATTTAAATCTATTCTTTTATTAGTAAAAAACAAAAAAAAAAAAAAGGAATAATAATAATAAATAAGCAATCTTGCTTAAAAGTAAGTATACTTCGAAAAAGAAGGGCAGCCAAGTTGACCTTTCGATAATTCGTTACAATCCAAAAGCGAATTTTACAATATATAAATTCATTTTTTTTTGGAGTTTGTTTATTTTATTTTATTTTATTTTATTATTATCCATTGATTGTCGGATAATTGAGTCTGATAGACGAATGACGCAATGGATTTTTTTTTGTTATTCCTTGTGTTTCATTTTTGACCGAGTTTAGAAGATTTATAAATTGTTCTCGAAATTATTGGTTCTTTCTTTCTTTCTCCTTAACCTCCCGCTCACTAACTATTACGATTTTTTTTTTCTTTTTTTTTTTTACTGTTTAGAAATTAAAGACATGGTACATTCGCCTTTTTCATCGGATATCTACAGTCCCTATCCTTCTGTGCATCATCTCGATAACATGTTAAAGTCATCCTGCAACGGTAGCGAAAATAACTTGTCCAAAAAGAGAAAGCAAGAATATCAATATCAAGTAACACCTGTAAATGATTTTTGTTTGTCTTCACAACAACAGCAAAAGTCCCAATTGATATATTCGCAGCAGCAACAGCCATCACAATTTAACATAACATACCAGCATCAGTTCGCTCCTGCTGCAATGCTAAACGCCACCACCACTTCTTGGAATGATTACGTTCGCTCGAATCCCTCCACTCCAACAAGTTCACCGCCACCACCACCACCACGTTCCGATACCATGAACATACACGATTACATCGTTAGCGAGAACCTGCCGGGAAATTTGTCATTGTCCACATCCGATAGTGTTTACGGATTAGATCCTCTGTACAACCCCTATGGTACCATTGCCGCTATACCATTGAACGCGACTCCGAACTTTGATAATTCCTCAAACTATGGCTACGGAGATGTTGCTGACGCATCGATCGCTACCGCTTCTTCTGGAAACTCACCGATCTCCAATCCCGAAGATGTATTGCGTGATCATCAGCGAATTAATGATAGCGTGGACTCGACTGATGAACAACAGGTCAATACGCAGAAGGACCCTTCCTCGGGATTGTCCTATGATCCTCTGGCTGGGTTGGCTGCCGCCGCCGCCATGGTCTCATGCGGAGGGGATAAGAATCTCGCTCAATCTACTGTATCCGACCCCATGAGCGGTGATACAGATATTCGTCGCAATCACCATCGTAGACCCTCTCATCTGATGCCTCTAAATATTTCCTCTCAGCCTAGTATGTACGATCTTAGATTTGCGGAATCTCTTTCTAGTTCTCCATCCTCCGTTGCCATGCCTGCGACTCCTGTGTTCTTTGAACAAACCTTTTTGGACGGCGTCACAAATACAACTATGACGGAAGGATATGCTTATATTAATCCCGGCATTTCAACTGATCAATTACTGGAACGTGCTACGATCTCTAGATCCCCAAGCTTTGACAGTATGTCCACTACTCCTCAGCATGGTTCGGTTTTCAGTTCAGAGAAGATTATTGAAAACCCTCCAACAATCATTCCTACTGCAATTAACATCACACAGACTTACGCTTCCCAACAAAATTTTGCTCCGATGTTAACTCAAACTCCGAGTACTATTGACTTTGCAGAATCAGATTATTTCAGCAGTAAACAACTTCAGAGGCAACAGCAACAAAGGCGACGTAGGAGTAGCTCCACATCAAATCCCCCAAATATTAAGGCCGAACCTTGTACACCAGCTCTTTCTCCTCCCGAGTCTCCTAACGACACCGCTTCTTCCGCTAGCTCCTCCCCACCATCTCCGTCTCCCCCGCACACGCCAACCTACATGCGTAGGATGTCAATTTCTCCTACGATCATGGAAGAAGAAGAAGACATGCTGACTTCATCATCATCTGTAAACAATTCCAACAATATGCCACTTGTTACTTCCGGCTTCGTGTCCGACATGTCGTCCACCGTCAATCCGAGGCTCACTCAGAGTGCCCCACCGAACATTATGAGGTTAATTTCATGATCAATCGATTAATCAATGAAAACAATCCCATCGGTCATTCAATTTTTGCGTTCAGCAACATTCATGCAAGAAATTTACTTTACTTTATTTTATTTTTTTATAGAACAATGATTCATCAATACCTGAGTTCCAACAATCCCTCTACGATGGGCGAAAAGACCGTCATGGTCTTTACCTCAAAAGTCGCCCAGAAGTCCTATGGAACTGAAAAAAGATTTTTGTGTCCTCCGCCCGCAACTTTAATTTTGGGATCGAGTTGGTGGTCACCTTCTCCACATAACTTGAACCATTCAACGTCATCTACAACGTACAGCCCGCCTAAAATTTCCGTGGGTATCTCCGGCGAGCAGAATCATCAACATGGAATCCTTGAATTGATCAACCCATCGGGCAATCCGCTCGATCCTAATTCCTGTTCAGAGATGGCATTCAGCGGAAAATGTGTGTCCAAGCATTTGTACATTAACGATGCTGATGAGAAGCGTAAGAGGGTTGAGGTCTTGGTAAATATTCAGAGTCCCCTGGGTCATGATTTTGGTACGTTTGCAAGCAAGCCAATTAAGGTCATCAGCAAGCCTAGCAAGAAGAGACAGAGTGTTAAGAATATGGAACGTAAGTTATACGGGGGCATACACTTCATTTTACATTACCCTAGATGATCACTAACAAATACTTTACTTGGCGACAGTATGTATTCACCATGGAACTACAATTTCGCTCTTCAATCGTATTCGCTCGCAGACCGTTTCCACCAAATATCTCGGAGTCTCCATGCAAAACGCCAATCAAACTTTTGGCCCCTGGAATTACGGTAATGGCCACATGTCATCCAACCCGAACGAGCAACCTCAGCCGTGTTTCGTTGCTCGAACCGGAAGCTGGGATCCGTTTACAATTTGGATAGTGGACCCACATTACGTTAAGGGCAAGGATGATCATTCGTCTCAAACCATCAATCACACTTTCCCTCGCCCGCCGCCGTCTGCACTTAAAACGGTCAATGGCAGTCCGGTTCCGATTCATTATAATCAGCAAGTCGTTTTGCAATGTATGACAACCGGGATGACCAGTCCAACCATGGTGATTCGTAAAGTTGATAAGGGTAGTATGGTAATTGGCGGAGGTATTGTGGAAGAGTTGAGTGGATTCGGTGAAGCTGAAGAAGGTTTGTTTTTTCATGATTGATCTATATATGGTTCTACAGGATCGTATGCTCGGCGACTAAAAAAAGCGTTCCACTTTAGCTTTAGGCGACCCTGTGTCACAACTTCACAAAGTAGCATTTCAGATTAAGGACACCAATGCCTCCTCCTCTCCATCCACTTCCCCCACATTTCAACCCGCAAATCGTCAGCATCCTCCAGGTCCAGGAACTTATCTCGCTTGTCTTGGTGACATTGTTGGAATGCAACGAGCAAACGAGGGTCGCAAAATCATAGCACAACCTTCGTCGTTGCCGATTAACGCCTTTTTGGGTATGAAGACAAATCCATCATCATTATCTGAAATTCCGGCAGTGGTTGCCGCAGCTTGGGCATCTGACGCCATAGACTTTCCTGTTAACGTTTCCTCATTATCAGAATCTGCTGTAGTCTCCACCGAAGGTGGTAAGGTCATTCGTAAGCGGCGTGTTTCCTCGTCAGTAGTGGTCAGACCAACATCGCAATCATCAAAAGCTGCATTGGCGAAGAACAGGAGGAGGGTTAATAGCTTGAGTGGCGTGGCAAGTGAAGTTGACCTTGCAAAGTTTGCAGCGAATTCCAGGAATTCAGTTGGACATCGAAATCATGATAATGCCGGTGCTTTGTGGACAGAAGATGTCACAGATGCCGCAGTTTGGACGATTGTTGGGACTGGTGAGTTTTATTTGAACTTTTTCATCATTGTATTCACGTGCATATACTAAATTTTTCGCGCCAAATACGTAGATTGTGCGACGTATACGTTCTATTCTCCGCAAAATGTAGTCACCAATCCATCTCACCACGTATCATCGTTATTGCCATCCACTCCGTCCACACCGGTGACGCCTCTTCCAATCGTCTCAAGCATCCAACCATCATCACCCGGATCAAATTCGGCAACACCAAATACCATCACTATAAGTGGCGAAAACTTCACTCGGGATCTAATAGTGTGGTTTGATGATATTCCAAGTCCGAAGACAGAATTTAGATCCAAAGAGTGTTTGGTATGCTGCTTGCCAGAAGAATTAATGTACGAGATGGAACATCAACATAATATTAAGCGGGACATTAGCCTTCAGGGCCGACATCTTCAACTCCTCCCTAACGGAAGGGTTGGTGTCACTGGGCGACTCATTTTATTAAGTCGTGGAGATGGGGTTGTGTTCAAAACCGGGAAAGTATGGCCTTAATATGACCCCTATTCCAAATATTTGATTTTTTTTTTTTTTCAAATGATCGTATCATGTTTTTTCAATCTTCTACTCTTTTTTTTTTCTACTCCTTTTTTTTTTTTCATCGTGTCAATTTCTCTTCGATATCGATTTCTCTTCCGATTTTCGACAAATATATATTCTTTTTTAATTCATTTTCGCTCACCGTTTTGGTTGATTTATTTATCACCTCGCGACATTATATATATATATATATATATATATGTATATATGTATATATGTATATATAATTTTTTTTTTTTTTGTGAATATTTTTTTTTCTTTGTAGTTATTTTTTTTTTCTTTTTCACAGTGAGGTGTTTTCTTACAATATAAACCAAGATACAACACTTAAGGATTGATTTTATTTTATACCTTTCATAAAAAAAAAAACTTTATGAAAATTACCACAAAACATCACGTATGATTTCTTTTTAAAACTTTTGTATATACTCTAACAAAAAATTCATATTCTCCCAAGAAATTATTTCAAAACCTTCGAATCACTTTCACACATTTCATTTAAAACCCCCTTGATAAAAAAAAAAAAAAAATTTCCATCTTCATATTATGAGGGAGAATGATTTTATTACATTACGCAGATACATTATCGTAACTATATGACTTTTGTATAAAAATTTAAAGACATTTGTTTATACTTTTTTTTTTCTTGTTTATATTATATATATTTTTTAAGTACAAAAAAAAAAAAATTTTTTTCGCTCGATAGTTTTGAGAAATTGGTGTTTTACAAAATACAATAAAAAATTATCTGACAATTCGTAACAGAAAATCGAGTGGAATTTAGATTCTTACGTGAATAAGCATCGAGAATTACAAGAAGCATTTCTTACATTGATGTGATTCATTTTCAAAGAAACTAAAAAAAAAAAATGTTGAATATACATATAAAGAGATATGTCAAATCTGGATATTGTCAATTAATCCATTAACCTTCAAATTAGATAAACAAATATAGAAAAAATTTGCTTTAAATTACTTTGTAGTATATTTAAATTAATAATTTTAAAAAGATGAAGATTACAAAAATATGTTAAAAAAGGTTTTGAATAATTTGATTTAAATATAGAGTTTATTAAGGAATAATAATAACAAGAAAAAAAGAATTCAATAAATAAGATTTTGGATCAATTGCTTGAGACAATTGACTTTTAAATACCTGTGTATAATTAAAATTATTTATTTAATATGCAAATTCATTGAATTTGTTACTTCATTAAATATATAAAAATTATTATATAAAAGAATATACTGTATATCTAATATATCAAATTAGTTATACTATTGGTAAAAAAAGTAATAATAAAATAAAAAAATTAAATAATAAACATTATATTAATTATTAAAATATTTTATTAAATTGATCTATCTTATAATTAAATTACAGTTGCTTCCAAAAGTTTGAGTCCACTTACTATGTTTTTATTATAAATTTCAACTTTGACAATTTTTAAATCCTTAATTATATAACCAAAAATTATAAAATTCATATATATTATATCTTAATACTAGTTTTATTTATTATAATTTTTTTAAAAATTTTTTATATGTAATTTTTAAAGTTTTATTATTGTTTAAAAATTTCTTTCATTATCAAATTTTTACTTTTGAAGAATTTTGATTGGCTATCATTGTAAATTGATGATGTATTCAACGACATACTAATTCATTTAATAATCGACGTGATAGTATACTAGTATACCCGCACTGTTTGTACACACATTTTCTTAAATGGGATTTTCCTTCCAATTGAATCGATTTTCCAAATATAGCAAAGATGTAAACAATAATAAATAACGATAGACGTATGACTAGGTGCACCAATCTCCACTTTTGTCTTTTTCTCCTAACGCGTCGAGCTTAAGGTAAATATTAGTTTGACCTAATATTTAATAGGTTGATAGACATTATATCTTTGTTGACTACCTTAGCTATGTATAACTGTAGATACACTCGGAATAAAAGGCTAATAATGAGAATTTTTTTTAATAGAATACACTGTGTCCTAAACAATTAAATTCGATCGTTTCATTCCCTAAAATATGAAAATGTCTTCTCCACTTCCTCCCGAAACGCTCGAGCAAATCTTCAAGGAGCTTTCTTATACTGATTTGGGAAGTTGCGTCCTCGTTAATCGTGCCTGGTGTGCCAGCGCCGTTCGTTTTCTATGGAAGAATCCATTCGGATTTCGCTACTCCCAGCAAAAGTATGATCAATACATACCAACAATGAAAAAGCGCGTCAAAATGTACGAGGGCAGCAAAATATCACTCGCGCAAACATACATTTGGTGTCTTAGTGATAAATCAAAACGTACCATAATGGAGGCGGGTGTGGTTTTACCCAGATTCTTGAGAGAAAGCCGTCCGACGTTCAACTATCCGTCAATTTTGACGGCACTTAACCACCTTTATCTTTATGATGCGGTGGGATGGTGGCTTTCATCCAATTCATCGAAACAAAAAGATTTCGCGCACTACGTGATCGTCAAAGAATTGTATGCGATGTTTATCGCTCAATCCCCCAAAATAAAAACCCTTTCGTTTGGTAACACCGATTCAATCCAGCTCCAATTGAGGAAGATCGAAATCAAAAATGACATATTGCCAATAATATGTTACCTTCCGGGAGCAGAACAATTTTTTGCACGAATTGAGAGATTTTCGAGTGATGGTGAAGTTAACTCCTATGCTATTTATTATATTTTATCTTTTCTGATGTATTTATTATCATGATGCTGACTTAACTCGTCTGACCTATTATAAAAACAGTTGTCATTCCCTCGGAAATTTGGTATGAGTTAGCACAAATTGCCACAAACATCAAAGGTCTGGAAATTACAGATCATAACAAGCCTAACGAAGGGCTGCCATCCTTTATTCGAGCTCAAAAACATTTGGAAAAAGTAAAGATCGAACTTAAGGGACATCCGAAGTGGTCACCGTTGATTTATCGTGCAGTCAAAACCAAGGCATCTTCCCTCACCCACCTGGCTATAATCGATTCTCTCGATTTCATTAATAATAGCCAGTTTTCACTCAATTGGATCGCAGAGTGCGTAAAGTTACAAGAGTTCAAGCTACACACACCGAATTCATTTGACGAGAACTCTTTAGAGATTATATCATCAGTTTCGTTTCCCTCATTAACAAGATTGGATCTTTTCTCTCTAATTTTGAGCAAAGATCACGTAAAGCTGATCTGTAATGCTGCTGGTCAATTAAAATCATTAGGCTTACTATGGAGGTCTTGTGGTGACGAGAGTGCAATTATCTATCATATGTTATTCAAAACAATCAAGAGTACTTGCGGAAATTTACTTGAAATTGAGCTAACGATTCCGAACACGAAGATTTCGTTGATACCACCATTACTAGAGGGGCTTAATAACTTGGAGATTGCTAAATTCTCACAGTTCTGTCCTACTCAACAGGAGCGTGCGCTTGTTGAAATCGACATATCCAAGTTACTAGCAACATTAGGAAGCGTGCTTCCTGTAAATTTACGCAAACTTTGGTTTAAAGCAAATTGGATTTTCAGTTTTGAGTGCTTCAGTTCTTTCCTAGATGATGCCGAGAGTAGGCTGATGAAAAAACCCTTGTATTTTTTGTTTGGTACTAAGTTTCCCGGGAACTGTCATTTTAAGCTTTATCAGTTATACGTTAAAAGAGGATTGCTGGATGGCGAGTCATTTGTCGAGAATGGTCTAAAATGGAAAAAATTCAAAGTTTTTTGAAATGACCCTTCTTAAATCTAGATGCGGCGTGGTAGAAAGTGTTGGATCATTATTTGGCGAAACATTTGTGAAATTCTGCAATGGAGATTTAGAACAAGATTATCATCATCCTCGCATATTAGACATGATCAAATAACCTTATCTCGGTTCTCTTTTATTAGCTTAAATATGTGTCATCAAATAATAAATTTGAACTTAGTCCATGGCGACGCAAACATGCTATGCTTGAAAGTCTGATCGGACCACTGTAGCTTATTTGTTCCTTGATCTAGCAGTCCCTGAACCCTTTGATAGGAAGTCATAGAAAGCCTTCTGTGGCAATTCGATGTTTCCTACAAAAATGACATCTCGGAATTCCGTTACATGATGATGACTCAATTTCAATTACCGAATTATTCTTACCAATCATTTTCATCTTCTTTTTTCCTTCCTTTTGTTTTTCAAGCAATTTCATCTTGCGTGTTACATCGCCTCCGTACTATTGATTTTTCGATTTCAAAAATAAATTACGGCCGCAAATATGACAGGTCGATTGACAAAGTAACCTCAATGTTCTTACACATTTTGCTGTGACATTTTTTCTAAGCGCCGGTATTCTGCAGAGGGAATGTGTATTAATTATTTTAAGAAATTTGATGGAGAAGCAAGAACTCCGTGCACTTACGTTTCTCTTGCTACGATTTTCCCACCGATGGCAGTTTGAATCGCGACTTCGTATAACTGTCTGAAATCCTTGATGAACATTTGTGGTGTGCCAAAATAAGTGTCGTAAAAAGACGGAATACCCACTTTGGAATAACATCACTCAATTTCTTGGCCCACTCTCGACCAACCATCACAACTTGAGATCTGTGCAATATGGCGGCGAGTGCGTCCACGGGTTTCTTGTTAATCAAAACATTCATCTTCGTGACCAGATGAGGTTAATTTTGAAAGAATGTTATTAGATTAAAAGTGATCAGCAATTGATAGTTAGGTGAAAAAGATTACTTACTTTGACTATGTCCGATATTTGATACCCCATATCTTCGTAGTCGAAACTAAACAGTGGATTACTTTTAAAATTTATCTAAAATTTTGAGTCACGTGAATCACTTGGTTTTCTGTCAAACCTCGCGTAACCGCTTGATCTCGATTTCAACTCATCATGAAAATCGGTCACTATCTCCGCAAGCGGTAGTGCATATCTCATCAATACACGTAATTCATCCAAGGAATTATATTCTATCTGTTCTCCTCGATGGGTCTGTCGTTATTTTGGATATAGTTGAAAAAGGGAGATAAACGCATCCAAGTCATTCTTTTAATAATTGAACCTTACCCCGCAGAGATCCATCACATTTCCCAAGTATTCCTTCAAAGAAAGCGTGCGAACGAGTGAGATGATTGTTGAAAAGTCTATGGTAAGGATAATTTTTAAGAGGTTGATATTTATCTCACATTGGGTACAATTATGGTCGCCATCACCATGGGTTCCTGCAATTCGGCAGCATTGTTGGACATCTCGTTTGGCTCCGGGAATTCGGAAGGATTGCGGACAAACTTTGATGTTCCATCCCGATAAATAACTAGCATTGACGTTGATCATTTGTTGGCAATTGTTTGACGGGCTCAGAACGTGTAATGAAAGAAGAATGTAAAAACGATACTCTTATAAGGGACTGTTGGCTGAGTTATGATAACATTGGCATCATATTCCTGAGAAATTAATTTTACAATTAGTAGTGATCGAGGGATGAAAGCATAGTGTCAACCGCATCAAAAATATTTATTACTTCCTCTAGCCTCTGCCGAAATACATCCATGTGTAATGTCCCCAAAAATCCAATGCGCCAACCTTGACCCAGCGCCGTGCTAAAATTTACGTACATGAGTCCAGTAATGCCTCCAAGATTCTTGAAGAAGCATTTTGATGACCACATTCCTACCTTGTCTCTTTTTGTACCGAAACACTCGCGTCATTCAATGTCAGTTTTGTGATTGACTCATCGAGCCTGTTAAACTCATTGGCATCTACAGGAAAAATACCGGCAAACACCTGGTCGGCAAGAAATCTCTAAGCTTGGTTTAACCATGAGCCAACATGCGCGCCTAATTTAGCAACAGTTACCATCGGTTTTGCTGGCTCAAATCCTGGAAGCGGTTCTACCGGGCATTTATGGTGATAGAATGTATCACCTATGTGAGCTTCGGATGCTACTTTCATATTAAGTATAATGTATCCCACTTGACCAGCATGTCTGGCAGATAATAGAAAAACTTGTCAAATGGTTTTTGAATTAATAATATTTTGCATTTATGGAAAAAGTCACACACAAGTATCCTGTGGGAAACCGTTCTGGATGCATGATTCCAACATCGGCCACTTCGTACTTGAGGTTTGAATGTGCTGATACAATCTTATCACCTAGTAAATAGATTGTACATGAAATTCAACTGGAATCCATCAAATACGAGAGATCGAGAGATGAACAAACCTTTTTGTAACTTTCCATCGATTATCGCCATCAAACAAATTACTCCAACGTACGTGTCATACCAGGAATCAAAGAGAAATGCTTTCAGCGGCCTATTCACATCTCCATCGGGGCTATCAAATAGTATATGAAGAATCGATTAAATGAGGGAGATGATCATTCGGCAAATGTTCACGAGCCATTAATGTACGCACGATGGAATTTTCTCGATCACATTGGGCAAAATCTTTTCAATGTTGATCCCCGATTTTGCGGATATCTTTTAAAGGATTCACATTAGCCAGTGAAAGTTAGAGTATCATGGGATGCTTGCGGTAAGAACTCATTGATAATACGAACCAAACACATGTCTTTGGTGTCTAGTTCGAATGAGTTTTCTATCTGCTTGATCACCCGTTCGGTATCTGCTGCCTCGAGGTCTATCTATATATTGATTATTTTTTTGAAAAAACGATGCTTGGAAGTGGGACAAGTTGTTCAAAGCTTGTTATAAGTACTTTGTTGATGACCGGTATTATTGTCAGGTTTTGATTAAACGCCAGCCAAAAGTTCGCAGCTGTCTGGGCTTGTATTCCTTGAGAAGCATCCACCAAAAGAATTGTGCCTTGACACGCGGCAAGCGATCTCGACACTTCATAATTAAAGTCGACATGACCCTTCGGGTTATTGGTTAGTTCAGTAAGATAAATAATAACACGCCTCCGTTAAAGTGTAGGTTTTCATGAATATATTTACCGGTGTATCGATTAAGTTAAGTAAATATTGTTCACCTTTGAATTTATAGAACATGGAGCATGTCTAAAAAGAGATGAATGAACCTCGGATTTTTAAAAAATAACTTTTACGCGTAAACAAACGGTCGTATGATACCTACCTGTGCTTTTATGGTGATACCGCGTTCTCTTTCTACCGTTAACTTGTCTAAGACTTGATCGTTGTGTTGTGCGGATATGGTGCCTATGCATAGACGCGTGGACAACATTACATTAATTAATTGGTTGCACGGAAGGAATCGAAATTTGCCGAAAGATTGGTATTTACCAGTGAGTTCTAGAAGTCTGATTCGATGTTGCACCACGAATTTATTGTTAGTTCAATGAAAACCTTTTAAAATGACAAAATAATGCATTCTACCTATCCGCCAAGGTGCTTTTACCATGATCTGTGATAAAAAAAATCTTTCTTTATCGAGAGGTGATAAATATGAAAATCGTTTTTCTATTTGTTACGTACCGACGTGTGCAATGATACTAAAATTACGAATTTTTTCGGCTGGAAATTCTTTTAAATTTACATTCGTATCGCCCTTCAATTATCAAATGGAGCAGCTCGTGAAAACAAAGATTATTTTCTCATATTCGTCGTGATAAGATAAATACGGATGGAATACCGAGTTTGACGTCGTTTGCCATCTACGTGGAATCCAGCGTCTTTCATCAATTCTCAAGTACGATGCACGTGTTTTTGGATGATTTATGTGCGAAATGAAATTTCGACTGGATAAAAATTTTAGACTTTTGAATGAAAAGGTCGAATTCATCAAGAGCTGGCGAGTTTCCATTTCTTGAATAAAAAATTTTTCGGTGAAAAGAATTTGGATTCGCCCATCGCTTATCAGATCAAATCTATGGGTTTATCAATTCTCTTATGTACTCCAGCACATAAATTAACATCTCAATTTTAACTTGGCAGCCGGATAACAAAGTCGATCCATGGATAAAAAGGTTATCATCACTGATTTGTTTACAGACCGAAGCATAATCTTTTTTAACGATGACCACTAACTAATCTGTCAAAACAACAGTTCGAAAAATTATATTATGCTGGACCGGTTACAAGTTTATGTTTCCATGATGATGTGATACTATTCTCCGGGCAAGGACCTTATTTGAAAGCCTTTTATGTCCCCAGTGGGAAATTGATAAGCCATAGTCTGGCGCTGGAAAACTTTCGGATACGCGGAATTGTACTTGGTATTCTGATTAATCGTGCATTAATATAGTCTTCCTAAATTGAATTTTAATATTTTCTTGAAAAAATATTGCAAGAAAATTACGCCGAAAAGGGGGAGTCTTTAACGAAGGAAAAACTAGAAAAGGAAAAAAATCATATCGCTCAAGAATGCCCTCTGAAAGAGCGAAGATTGCTCGCAATCCATGGATCAAAGAGCGTACAGTTGGTCGAAGCAAATGTAATCTACAATTATGGAGAGTACGTCTCGAAAAAAGTTGATATTGCTATTAAAGCTTTTCATCGGCTACGAATTTCATTCGTTTTTATTTAACATTAGAAATTTACCGAATTGCGCATTTACCCTTGTTTCGAAATTACCTCCTTTAAAAGACTGGGTGCACGATGTTCGTTGGTTGTATAAGAAATCGGTGATGCAACATTTTCTTTTTCAACATCCTATTTCTTCATTTTTTTTTTTTCTTATTAAAGTACATCTCGAATTATTAACCAGAACATATCGGTCGCTCACGATATCTAATTTCAATGTTCAGGAATCAAAAGATCCAACAGAGTTGGCCATAGCTTTTGCGCATAACTTTGTGGAAATTTGGGATGCGAGGGATAACTCTTGCGTGTACTCGATTCAATGCGAGGAGCGTTGTATATTATACTCGGCGAGATTTTTCGGGAATAACAGAGAAGATTTGGTCTTGGCATCTGGGACAGTCTTTAATCAGGTTCTTTTATGGAATGTCATGCAAGAGAGTGAACACGATCTAGGTGTTGTGCGCAGGAAGTTTATAGGTCACGAGGTATGTCAAATGACATTGGCAATCTTCAAGGGTGAAACTATATCAGAGCTGTCGATGCATTTAATGTGCAGGGTGTCATTTTTGGTGTGAGGTTTAGTGAGAACGGAAGATATATTGTCTCGGTATCCGATGATAGGACGATACGTCTCTGGAATGCGGATGCCGATGACGAGTAAGTGTTCCCGGTCTATTGAATTATACGTTGTAATTATGATTCGATGGGCTCTGATTTCATTATAGCATGAAACCATTGGTGTTATATGGACACATTGCGAGAGTTTGGGATTGCCTCATATTAAATGATTACCTTGTCAGCATTTCCGAGGTACTTTTTTTTTTTTTTCCATATCTTACGATTGCTTTGCATTCGTTAACTAAAATGGCCAAGGTGAATAGGATTCTTCGTGTCGCGTATGGAAAAATTCATTTTATAACAATAGCAAGGATGATCTGAGTGACGTTGATTGTATCGCCTGTTGGGAAGGACATGTTGGCAAAAATGTTTGGAGCTTGGCGGTAAACACTTCACAAAAGATAGTGGTAAGTAGCGAACATATTACATCTTAAAAAAGAGTGTCGCATGGTTTTAGAAATCTATTTAACCTTAGGCGACCGGCGGAGGGGATTCTGGCATTCGGTTGTGGTCTCTTGCGACCATTACCAATAACAAGATAGGTGCTGTGGACGTGAATTTGGTCCCACCATCATTGGAGAAACATGATGCTAATCACCATTGGTATTTATAGACTCGGAAAAGGATTTGACCAAAGTATTATTGCCGCCTCTTGAATTGTATGCTCAACGAAATGTAAGTTTGATACATTATATATTGACACCACTGAATCATCCTTCTCGTGATTCTTATTACTATAAATTGCTTGCATCAGGTAAAACTACCCTCCAGAGAACATGTTCGAAATTTTGTGTTGATAGATTACCATGTGGTGGTTATTGCCACAAATTTCGGGTGAGTTGTCCTTTCAAACGGTTGACCTTGCATTTTCCTGTCAACTTTAATGATTCTATCATTTTTACGATAAGTCATCTTTTGAAACACAACATTCTTTCAAATGAGTGGACATCCTTATATAACTCGCCAAATCTACAGAACTATACTATGATGAAAGCTTCAGAGTGTGGAAGGGTTGTATGTTGTGGAAGTATTGATGGTTATTTATATACAATCAGCGTGAATCAAAATTTTCAGGTATACCATGAAAAAGGATACCTTTCAATTCCAACGAATTCTAATATATTCATCGTCACATTTCTCTTGACTAGGTAATAGAGAGGAAATTACATGAATTTAAAGTATTTGAGATCTTTCTGGAAGGAACTGAAGGTTAGCGATGCGTCGACAGTACGGATAAAAAGTTATGATTTAGATTAGTATTTAATTAATATTATTAACGGTTTTCAGATCCAAACGTAATCTACATAATATCGCATGCAGTTCAGAATGATGTTTTGCTGCTAAAGTTAAATTTAAATGAAAATGATCGAGTACGATCTTGACCTTGTTTTGCTCATCTTTGATGGTCGTGAATTTGTGCTAACATTCGTATAAAACGCGTTCCAGGAACCGACTCTAGACATATTATATAAATTATATATCCCCGATCAATTCTTGCTTATGTCCCTTTCATTCTTTCCTCCGCTCGGCATCCTGGTTTGTGGCTCACGCGATAGTGGGTTGGCTATATACAACACAGCACGATCATTCGTCCCGGCGGCGGATCATTTCACAGAAGAGCTTTCACCGATCATTTATTTAAGCAAAACACACGGAAAACAGTCGGTTACCTCTGTTGCCTTAAAACTCGATAAATTAGGTGATCAAGAAAATGATGAGGTCTTGATGATATACACTTCTGGTAGAGATGGATGTTACATCAAGTATCGGTTGAAAGGTTTACAAACACACAAAAGAATCTCTGCTTCTTCAAATATCGGTGATTCTTATTTTGGAAATTATACTGAAATGATGGAAATCGGTTACAACAGTGATGACAGTGAAAAAACGGGGGGAAACTTGAAAAAAGAGTTGGCGTCAAGTCATGGTCTTATTTTGGAAGAGGTTTATAGGGCCAAGATTACTAAAGGATGGTTGGAAAAGGTTTCTGTAAATCCATAACATTTGGATTGGTTTTACACTTGTTTTATATAGATATGCAGTATGTGTGCTCATGTCACATCGTTTACTCATTCAAAGGTTCTATTCGCGGACGACGAATTGATACTTTTGGGTTTCTATCGAAAAAGATTCTTTGTATACAACGAGGCTAAAAAGTTCGAGGTAGAATACTGAAACTCTTGTAGATGTTATGGATTGATATCTGACAAATACTTTCACCATGACAAGATGTTTTCCGTTGCATGCGGAGGAGCGCATCGAGTGTGGCATTTCAAAGCCCAAGACAAAAAGATGGATAATGCCAGCTTCATGTTTATTCGTAAAGAAAATGTACGCACAATATGCATTGGTCGATTTCTTCTTGAGAATTATTCTTTTATTTAATTTGCATTAATACCCCAACTTTTTTTAAAGGTATTCATCTATAATAGAGAGAATATGGCATTAAATGAGGGTTTTAATGAATGCGAGTTGCAGGGAAGTTTTCACGGAAGAGAATGTAGGGTTGTGAGATTTCTTAGTAAGTACCATTTTATGCTAAATCACATGTGAAGTTATTATTAACCCATTTATTTTCCACGGTGGTGTTAGCATATCCTTTAAAGGAGATGGTTCAAAGAGCGAGTCAGATTCTAGATAAACTGATTATTCTCGCAACAGGAGCGGAAGATGGTAGATTGAGGATATCTCAGTGTAAGATTGGATCCGAATTCTGTTGACTTGGAAAATTTCCGAGACCTTGTGTCCAGAAAATTAATTTTTGCCGTGTCTTTTAGTCATTCCTGGGGAAGAAGAGAATCACCTGGTTAACTTGTGTAATATTAAGAAGCACACCTCGGTGATACGTAGCATAGAATGGAGTCATGGTAGACCTATATCTTATTTGTTTCTGTAATACTGCATTTGTTGACTCCCAGTTCCCTGTTGCTATGTTCAGGTAAAAATTTGTTGTTGTTTTCAAGCGGTGCTAGCGAGGAATTGAGATGCTGGAAAGTTGAAATTAAATTGGATAAAGGAGACACGGAAAAGTCAGGTGCCCTATCTATTTTTTGCCAAAGATACAGCATTATGATAAAAAATTTTTAATGTTAACCATGAAATTTCAATCTTGCAGATTTCCGACATGTTAATGTCAATTGTCTTGAATGGGCTTCATGCTCACCCGTTAGGTATCTTGATTTTTATTTTATGCTATTTCATTTATCAATGATAACTTTTGCATTTATTTGTACTACAGCGACATACCTGAAACAAGAATAATGAGTACGGCTGTTCACCCCATCGATCCTGTTCGAGGACTGCATTTGATTGCCGCGGGCTATTCAGATTCCGCGCTAAGGGTACTATTTGTTATTATATTATTTTGTAAAGCCAGGTCGTTATATTATTATATTAGAATAATATCTGAATTAAATTAATATTTGTCTATTTAACTATCTTTAATAGATTTGGCTATTTGATGAACATGCAAAAGATTTCTTATTGATAGGATATACTAAATTCCATTCAAAGTGTATTTTACAAGTCAAAATTTTGGTTGCCGGTGGAATTATGAATAGGGATGGGATCGTTCTACTTACTTCAGCTACTGACGGAAGGTGAGGTTATTTTCCTTCTTTTCCCTTTCGTTTTTTTTTTTCAATGTTCGCTCAATAATAATGAAAAAAAATTTTTGTGATTCAGAGTTGCTATATTTGACATTTCTCAATTAGTTCATGGGTAATGAGTAACTTAATATCCATCCCTTTTATTTTTATAAAAATCCACACTCAATCTTACTTTATTTTATTTAGCAATGTGCATATATATGACAAAAATATTAAAGATCGCATTTTTAGCTCAAAAGATTTATGTGATCCCATCTATTTCTATAAAGCGCACCAATCCGGGATAAACTGTATCGCGGTTCACCAGCTACTTGATAATACTGGGGGGAAAACTTGTATGATTGTAACTGGCGGAGATGACAATTCCTTGGTCGTAGAATTTCTGGATTTTGAGTGGAAGATATGTGATGATAAAGAATGCAACGAGGAATTTCGGTTATCTGTAAAGCCGAGTAACGAAAGAAATAGCGCGAGAGCGGATACAGCCCATGGCTCATCTATACAAGGTGAGCTACCTTATTTATTCTCTTATTTCATTCTTTTCTTCTTTTTGTCTTTAACGAGGAACTCGTGATTTTCGGCAATATAGGCATTTATGTCATTGACGATACCTCAATACTCAGTACTTCGTTGGATCAGCGCTTAAACTTATGGAAAATTAGATCCATGGATTTTGATAGTTTTAGAAATAGTAAAGAGATTCGTCTAGTCAAATCTGAATTCATTGACGTCTGCGATCCATCCTGTATGGACGTTTTGAACGTTAAGGAATCTGGGAGAATGACTGCCGCAATTACGGGAATCGGCATAGAAATAATTAAATGTACGTAACTACAGTCGCAATAGTTTAAAGTCTTGGTAAACATTATGCCATGAGAGCTTCTTAGAATCTCTGAACATGATTATTATAATTCTTACGGTTTACATTTACACTATCTTGTGAAATTTTAGCATAAAAATAGTCACAGCAACACATTAGAATAAACAGTCTTTGCGAATCGATTGTATTGTGCCTATATAATTATAGAGAAATTATGACCTCTCCGTTTAACAAAATTGGGATAAATAGTCTGTCGGCTCTTATGTTTTACCTAAAACCTCTGGGTTCTGTGTATAACTCAGTCTATAAACTACATCCGCACCGTTTTATTTATTTATTTATTTTTGCGAAATAGAAAGGTTTCGATTTTTTTTTATCTTGTATTCGACTGTCGCTGTTTGTATATTATCATTAAAGGTTTTTCGGCATAATGTATTTATAGATATTAACTTACGAGCTTGATTAAATTAATCAATAATTTTCTTAATGATGAATATTTCAAGCGGAAATTTTTTTGCTGTTGCTGCTGTACCTCGCGCATTGAAAATATAAGCTTTGTTATTTATTAAAGAGTACTAGATATAATATATACATCGGAAAATCACAGGGGTTTATTTTGTTTCGCTGAGTCAAGAAAGATACCTGTTCTTAATATTATTTCGGTTTTCCAACTAAAGATAGCGTTAAGTTCTGAAAATAAAATTCTTTATTAGTAACATTCAATAATCATAGTTAATTAAAACAAGTACCGTGCTACTTACTACAATAGTTCAGTATAACTCACAGGAAATATTCCAACTTCAAATTTTCCTTGAATGCGGCCTTTCCACCAGCCGTCATTTGCTATAATATTTTTAAAAATGGTTAAATAATTTATTTGAGATGATGAATAAAGATATCTGTTACTCACTTCGTTCAATTACTTCTATGATTTCACCCTCCTTAAAACTCAAATCATCATCATCCTCGGCTGTGGAAAAAAAATATAGTCAAAACCTAATCGTAAAAATCAATTTTTTTTTTTTTTCGAAAAATTCTGACACCGACCATCAAAATCCATCAAGGCCTTGCGTTTTTCATTATGTATTGGCAAGGAGAAGTTTTTAATAAGTTTTTTCGGCAGAGAAAACGATGAATGTAAGGGAGAGTTTGCTTTTTTTGAAGGAGCCGCAAAAAGATTTTTTG